CCTGCTGTGTGGGTGTGGGTTTGTGCCTCTTTTCTTCAGTCTGTTTGGAAAGATGGCATAAAAGAACGTAGAGTGGACCAGTGTTTTTTTTTTTTTAATAATAAATTAAAATTTATTTGTTTGCTTTGCGCCTTGGAAGTCCCAGGAATGTTAATTCCGGTCTTTCCTGCCGGCTTTGGAGGACGACAGGGTGGTATTAAGGAAGTTTATTTTGAACTTAGTGTGTCTTATTTTGACCTTAAGTGAAGGGATAAGGGAGAATGTGGAAAGCCTAGCAAAAGCTTATTCAAAATACCGGTCAGCTGAAGGTAAATAGTGCTAAACAAGCAGACAAGGCAGTCTAGCCCCCTAAAAGCAGTCATTTTCCCTTCTTAAATGCTTGTGCTTCAGTGCTTTGAGTGCTGTGGTTTATCCTGCCTCCTAATTTTTGCTCCCCCTCCACTTCAAATTGAATGTGGTACTCTCAGAATAATTAGAAGACTCATTTGTAAGGGTAAACTCCTAGCTGCATACTTTTCTAGGGAGAATGCCAGTTTTAAGTATAAAAAGGACAGGATGAAGAAGGAGAAAAAGGGAGAACAAAATATTCCATGGGCATCTTTACACTGCAAATAAGTGAAAAGCATCGTCCTGTGCCAGAAGGTGGTCTTCTAGAAAGCTAGCCGAGATTGAAAAGCTCTGATGATTTTGGTAGTAAACGCTATAAAAAAAAATAGGTGACTTTAAGGTCAAAACCAGGTGTTAGCTTTAAAAAGACTCAGTATCTTGGACAAATAAGATCTATATTTGTGTATGTTGACATGAAGCAAGTAGTAAATCTTGTGCTTCAGGCTGCAAAGGGATTATCCAAGGAAGGAACTTTTCCCGCAGTGTTGCACAACTGTCAGTATTTTGCTTTCCTTAGGAGAACTCTGTTATCTGCTGTTGCCTGGTGGGAGGGGAGGGCGAGGCAGGGAAGGAGAACAAGCTCTTGTGTTTGACCAACAGACCTCGTGGTTCACCAGCCTGTAAGGACCGTGGTGCTGGGAAACTGGAATCCCTTGGGTTCCTTTCTCTTCATCCTGCAGCTTGTGTGAGGGGCAGCCCTGAGCAGTGTTAATGCTGCCTGAAAACGAGCAGCACTGTGTGATACTTGTGTGGGCGCAAGTTGTCTTCATGGAAAGCTTTAAAAGTTATTAGAAGGAAGAGCAGAATTCTCTGTGAAATACAGGCTTTTCAGCAGCAGAAATCCGGATTAGAGGGAGTCTGGGCAATGACTTCAAGTGAGGTTATGAAGCTGGACTTGAAAAGTCTTCCATGAGATTTATGAATTGTTACAAAAAGCACCTGTGGATACGAAAGACCACAAAGGCGTTATGTCCCATCTTATTTCAGCTCTGATTCTTTGGAGGAACAGGGGTGGTGGGTTATTTTACCTCTCCTCAGCATTCAGAATGTGTGTGGTGTTTGAATGTCTCTTGCTCCTGCCGACGGATTTGTCTAGCTGTCTTAAGCCAGCTAGCGTGAGCAGAATCAGGTTCTGCCTTCAGCAGCGACTTTGGCATACAGCGTATCTTTCTCTCTGTGGCATGGATGCAAGCGTTTGGGTAGCTGCTTTGTGAGCTGCGGCAGGGAACTCTGGCTGAAAAGATCTCTGCCAAGAAAATCAAAGGGAAACGTGGAGAGAGATTCACCACCTCACTGTCCAGTGGGGTCATTTCCTGGACTCGGTTTGCAGAAATGGCCCCTCAGCCACACCAGCACAGCTGAGGGAGTGGAGTAGTGTGGCATGAGCCAGCACTAAGGAACTGTGTCTATCACAGCCTTTCCTCAGTACTGATAATATCTGGAATCTAGAAGTTTAGGCAGATGTCACCCATGCCCTACAGGTGGGGACAGGAACATATGACTAGCCACATGCTCTACTAATACGTTAGTGACAGATGGAGCTGTAATGCAGTTAGATCCAAAAGCATTCTCCAGCAGTGGCCAAATGCTGCTTTCTTGACTTAATCACCTGTATAGCCAGTCTATAGCCAGCCAAGTAGCAGTGGAAAGTTGGCTTATTTATGACCACTCTGTAGTGCACCACATATGTAAAAGGTGCAGAACGGTCAACATGGGAATACTGGAAGTTGTTAGATTGTGGGGGAACTCCTTCGGTGATGGGCACTGAAGAAGCATCTACTAGGAGGGGAACAAAAAAGAAGTGTGTTAAAGGATAACTGTGAGGGTGCTGGCAGAACAGGAGTAAAAAGACATTTCTGGTCATAGAGGGTATCAAGGAACCTACAGGTGATGAGATGGGTAGCGATGTGAAACAAATTGGGAAGGAATGGCATAGAGTTGTTCTTGCTGAATTCCAACTGTTAGAGGAACACAGCTGTATTTTACACGTGTTTTAATTAAAATATGTTCTCTTTTTTCCTCCCTTCCCACCTTCTTCTCTTCAAGTGAAAAGAAAAATGACCTAAGCACCATCTAGCCTTTGTGGCCAAGGGCAGGAGCAGAGGTAGGACGATGGCTTTGCCTGGAAGCTTACGGAGGCAGCCTGCAAACAGAGGGCTTGTGTCCCATTGCACCCACCATCACAT